TTTTGTCGTTTATTTGTAGGAACGATTATGCTGAATTCCAGAGTATTATGAAAATTATCTTCGCGAGAAATTGGAGATTGACATATTTCTAAATTATGAACAAAATTACAATTATCAAAAATAAGATCAAGGGTGTTTCCAGAAACGTTGATATGATTGTTGTATTGAGAAAGATCTCCAAATGACATAGTGTCCACAAGCAAACAACTGTTTACATCATGATAATTAGATGGTTGGGTAATTTTGTTCGTATCATCAAATATCCATTGAATATTAGGAAGGTTAAAATCACCACATAACACTAATTTGTCGTTTGGATGATTAGTTACAATATCAGCTAGTTTAGAACAGAATAAGTTCAATGCTGTTGTATCACATGGTGGAATATAGACACAACACAAATGGAATTTTATTGGAATGTTGTCACCTGTATCCAGAGCTACAGTTACCCATAGATCTTCCGAGTCGGATGACCACTCCTCTTGAACAAAACTGTTGAATGATTTTTTGATGGCAATCAGAACTCCACCTCCTTCTAACTTGGTGCTCCTGGAAGTTTCACGATCTCTGCGATACACTTTTTAATCCTCGTAGATTACCTCTCTGTTATACACTGAGCTGTTGAGCCATGTTTCCGAAAGGCAAAGAATATCATAGTCACAAGCTTGAGTGTTCGAAAATGTGGTTGATAGCTTTGATTTTAAACCTCGAACGTTCTGATAATAAACAGTTATGTCAGTAGATGCGAATGAAATTGAGAAATAATGTTAATTTGAATAAGTGCCTGTAATCTCATTGAGAATTACTTCAATTTGGCTATGTCGCCTTCCTTAGTGATGTTCATCACCTTCGAGGTATCATTTTTCCTCACAAGTATGTTGCCATTTCTCACCCACACGAATTTATAATTGTTTGACTTGGCAGCTTGCTTTGTATTTTTCAGCAATAACTTTAATTTATTCGTGAGATGTTCGTTGATGAATAGCTTGTTTGAAATATTTTCAATGACTATTCCGGGGGAATTTGTATCATTTTTGGCATGTCTTATATTCTTTGTAGCTGCAAGTATTGAGTCTCTTTTCAGTTTGGATAGAAATTTGACAACTATAGATTTCGGCTGTTGCTGATCACTTGACGGATGTTGAGCAACACGATGAACAGTGTCCACATCTTGCGGAAGGATAGGACACTGAATGTGCTCCCCAATTTTTGCCAAAATATTCACCAAGTTTTCATTGGATTTCTGTGGCACTCCTTGTATTTCTATATTGTTTGAACGTGTTTGTTGTTCTAGTATGTCCACCTTTGTGGTTAACCGTGTTAATTCGGATTTGAGATTAACATTCTCTCGATTGATTTTCTCGATTGTTGCAATTTTTTCATTCAGTTGATTCATTGCTTTTTCAAAAGTACTAATTTGGTTACTACAAAAGTTCACAGACTCCATGACATCTTCATATTTGTTATTTAATGATTTCAAGTTTAGTTGGATATCCTTCAGGATCAGTGTAACTGATAGCGGTACAGAATCTGCTTCATCTTTTTCGTTACCTTCCATGGTGATCACAGAAGATCTTCCATTAGTTTTGTCTCTGCAATCCGGGCAGGCCCAATAAGCTCCAGGTACAAGAAAATTGCTTACATCTTGTTTGGATAAACCAACACATTTTCCATGGTAGAACTTTTGACAACGCCCTATACATTGCAAACCTGGTGATTTCGCATTCACGCTCGAGGTACAACGTTCGCAGGTCGGCATCCCGAGATAAGACAAGTTCTACTTTTTTCTATACTGTGTGAAGGTCGGACCTCGAAAAGAAATATTAGGCAGCAAAAAATATAGGCATATATTGGCACTGTATGCAAAATGAATATAATTAATTCACTTGTTCTATGATGTGTTTGTTGGTCGATCACGTTATTATTCAACTAGACAATTCGAAAACGTTTTTGCGCACGTGAAGATTTCACAAAAAACTCGCGATAAATTCCCACTAATTTCGACTGTAAACTCGGAGCGTACATACGGCGTGTACGATCACGACGAACGGAACCATATCTATGTTCTAAATATCAGTGAAATTGGTCTAGCGTGTGAATATACCATGTATGCAGATGATACAGTACTTTTATATGAAGGCAAGAATCCTTCAGATTTAGAAAATATGATAAATGAAGACTTGAAAATATTTGAAAAATGGCTCCAATCTAACCTTTTATCGATAAATACTAACAAAACAGAATATATGATTTTTCACCAAAAAAATAAACAAAAAATTCACCTCAACCTTAAAATAAAAAATGAACTCTTGAAACAAACTGACCAGATAAAATAACTTGGTATTTGGTTTGATGACAGGTTGAAGTGGGACAAACATATTGATGTTCTGACAAAAAAAATATCTCCAATTATTGGTGCATTGAGAAGATGTCCCAAACTTGATATTAAAATTGCAAACATGATTCTCTACTATCATATACTGAGTCGTATCAACTATTTAATAAATGTTTGGGGATCTTGTTCAAAAAATAATTTCAATAAAATATCAACATTATATAGAAAATCGTTAAAAGTATTGTATCGTCTCCCATTTGATACACCAACCAATCAATTGTATGAAATAACAAATACGTATTCTTTAGATGAAATATATAGAATTGAAACTCTCAAAATATCATATAATATCATAAATAAAAAATTGAAGTCGAATATCATTTTGATACGGAATTCTGAAATTCATAATCATGAAACTAGACAATATAACTTGTTCCATCTTGACGCCGCTAGCTCCCTAATCGGACAAAAAAGATTCACTCATTCAGCCTTAACTGAATTCAATAAACTACCTGATAATATAAAAAATTTCAGAAATATAGGTATTTTCAAAAATGAAGTAAAAAAACTGATTATTTCTCAGCGGACTTGATAAAATTAATCATGCCATTTTTTTTTACAAATATTATTCTTTGTTTGCCAATTTACAGTTGTTGATATATTTTTAATGATGCTATGTTTACCTATAGGTATATAATTATGTACTTCCTTATACCAGAGCCTATCCTGTCTGGAAGTTATTTGTTCAATAAATAAATAAAATAAATAAATAAATAAATTATATATCTGAGGATTGTGTTCATGGTTCGAAGTTGATGAAGTCGTCACACGAGTAGAAACATTGGCTGCTGAGAAATTCTTTCGTATTCTGTTTCACTATATTCGCATTTGGCAGCGATTTGATCTCAATGGGCAGGCAATTGAAGAACTTCGACCCTATATAAATGGGTGACTTTTCGAAAAAATCCTTTTTGTGCTTGATCATTTTCAGTAGGTGTCCATTTCTCGGAGGATATCTGCGTTGTTCTCCATTAGTTATAATTGAAGTTTCATGTTTTTTTATATAAGTTATCAAGCTGTGGATGTATATGCATGGTAAAGTGAGTATTCTGTTATTTTTGAAGTCGGGCTAACAACAATCGGTTCTTTTCAGATTGAATATCAACCGGATAATTCTCTTTTGTGCAACAAATACCCTATTTATATTACTACTGGCACCCTATAGTATTATATTATATTTTAGTAACTAATGTGATTTCCCCATGTCGATCCTGTACCCCAACTTCGCATCAGATGACGGCACAAATTTCAAAACATCTAAAAACTTTTCTTGCATCTCTAGCTTCTCTCTGCCCTATTGATCTTAGTCTCGTCAGTCGTCATTCCTTTATTTTTGCCGTAAGCTGTAGTGTAGGTAAGATTAGATTGAAAATATTAAAAATTATAATGGGAAACACATGAGCACTGCAGAAGTTCCAGCTCTTCAGATTCATCAGAAGCATTTTATTTATTGGTAAGAAAATTAAAACTTTGAAACATCGTTCCAAGAATAATATTCGACATCACTTCCTATCGTTGCTGTCGAATGATTCGAAATCTGAAAAAGAAAATGGCAGGTATTATAAAACAGAATATCTTTCAGTTGAATATGTTGATTACTTAAATCTAGACTGAGAGTGAGCCTTGTGAAAAAGTTTTTTGCAAGGATTTGTCAGTTTGACAAATATTGCACAACATACAAGTAGGTAACACCGAAGTCTGTAAATATGAGCCTTGTGGTTTGCCAGAGTATGACAAACTCCTAAGTAGGCAAAAATCCTGCTGAAGATATTTCAGAGGTACCTTCTTGATTGTGGACTGAATAAGAGTTTTCATCAGAAATTGCGAAGATTGCTGACAATATTATATTAATTTGTCAGACTCAAATTATCATCATCCTTCTCACGACAACCCCCCACCTTGAAGACTCTTTAACAAACTTCTGAAATCATTCTGCCCCATTCAATCCTATTCAATGGGAAGAGGACAAAGTTTTGAAATTTTGAAAAAGCGACTTCGTCCTAAGCGCCAATTATTGGAGGAATGTCATCCTCATTCACCAACACTATACTATTTTCTTTAATATCCTTTTGATTTTTCTTCCGCTTAACTCTTTGTTGAAGTCCACATATGTATTCCTTACTCCATCTGCTGGATGCATTGATAGCAAGAAGCTATATTATAAGGTAGATGCTGCAGGTCTGGATCGGGTACATCTGTCAACGGCTTTCCTTATGCAGAAGTTGAAGGATTCAGATCGTTAGGAACGTTGGAAAGGAGATGGTATGACGGGCTAGAATTTAATATTGATTCGATCTGGACCAACAAAGTGTAAAGTTTCTCAAATATTAAACATGCATTTCCCGCTACTCTCTTCAAATGATTCTTTGTAGATTTTACTCTCACTCACTAGCAATATTCATTGACCTTGCCAACAATTTTCATTTTCAAACTCCTATTGGGTGTGTTCAATAGATTAAATTGAATGTTATTATCATTATTATGTCCCGTCACTCCGTGTGAATACGGTGTATACAATAAATGGACCCGTGATCGTAATAACGGGATAAAATAAGTTTCACAGAAACATCGACAGCATAAAAAACTTGATATGAATTTATTTCAGGAAGTGGAACAATTGCGGCAAGAAAAATTGGAAATCGATCAACAATTACGAAGTATTCACGGGTCCGCTTTAGGGTCCATGCAAAGTTTATCGATGAATAGACGGAACGACCGCGGATATCACTCAGATATGGATGGAGGAAATCGCTCAGGCAGAGGAAGTTCAATGCGGGGCCGTGGAGGAAGAGGAAGAGGCAGGGGTGATAGATACAATTCTGGTAAACATTAATAATTATCCCATGTAGTGACATACAAATTTTGAAAGGACCCAAATGACATTATCAGTTTCAACATCAGCTGCATGCGGTTGTCACAGCTCAAGCAACCTCCTTAAAACAAATAAGGCCTACTTTTATGAGAGCTGTCACAACTTCTCTTGTAGCTTGTCATAAAACTAAAAAGCATTCTTTTTATGCGTCAAAACAATTATAAAATGATGTATTACCAGAATATTTAAGCTGAAAGGCGACATTCCTTATCACCATGTTACTAAATCCATCAGAGATTTCCATCAAGATCACGTACTTTGCCTGAATTGGTGAATTCTGAATGATACTTGTATTTGATTTGTTTAACAATCCATCATTTGATGATGATCCATCAGTTAGTGAATTTAGCAACACAGTTTACAGGCTGTCCCATTTTCGATGTCCTTACGGGAAATCTCACTTACTTTCAAAGATTAAGATTCGCGGTTTTCGCGGACGTTGGCTAGTTTTTTTGTGAAATACACGATACCATAAACGAAATATTCATAGCCCGCTCCTTTTTTGAGAAACATGGAGAAAATGAGGATGTTTAATTTTGGGACATCCCTATATCTCAGCTATCTTTCAATTCATCGGTAAACTAGAAACTTTCTCTGTCCAATTGAATATTAATGCTTTGCGCTTACCAAAAATATTTAACATATATAACAAGATATATCAAATATTAGTTAGCTGTTAATTTAGATTATTTCTATTTTCTTTAGTAGATTTTTCATCGATTGGTCTCGTGAATATGTACGATTTTATCGGGGGTAATACACGAGAGGTCAGATCTAGCCGAATATTTTTTGTGGTTGTTTTTTAATACTCACTTCTATTAGCAATTTAACGAGAAATGTTCTGAAAAAATCACAAAGGCTTGCATTGTTTTCACCACGTAGGTATTCTTTATAATCCTTCCCAATCTGTTTCTACATATTTGTCATAAATTCATCATCGATGCTAGGAATAAATAAAAATGATAATGCGGAAATTCAGTTTTCTGAAAATAACTCAAACACGAAATGTCTCAGAGATTTTTGAAAGTCATTGTGTTGGTCCTCCACTCGCGCAACTTTTCTCCAATTTAGCCAAAACTGGGCACAGTGTATAAGAAGATCTACTGGAGATCTACTTGCCTACGTCACCCATTTATGGCAAGCTTCATTAGAAAAACACGGGGAATCTCTAGCTGTCGCGTTGGACATATCGAAAGCATTTGACCGTGTTTGGCACCAAGGACTCCTCCACAAACTACCATCATACGGCTTACCACCTCAGCTATGTCATCTCTTATCGAGTTTTCTATCAGGCGGATCGCTTCATGTAGTGGTGGACGGTGTATCGTCTGATACCATTGGCATCAGTTCCGGCGTCCCACAAGAATCAATTTTGGCACCAACATTATTCCTTCTTCATATCAATGATCTGTTGCTAGTAACAACTTGCCCCATCCACAGCTTTGCAGATGATAGTACCCTCCATACTGCATTCTCTTCCAGAATTCCCATTTCTTCCCAGGATACTGAGAACTCACGGCGCAGGCAGGTCAATGCTATCAATGAAGACCTTCCTGAAATCACAGCCTGGGGAACCAACAACCTAGTTGAATTCAACGCCACCAAAACTCAAGCCTGTATTTTCTCTAGAAAGGCGGAACTCAGTATGCCCGACATTGTAATGTCTGGCACCACCATCCCTACCAAGCCCACCATATCCATGCTCGGTATTTCCATCAGCAATACTCTCATGGGATAATCATGTCAGATCCATCGCAAAAGCTGCTTCACAAAAACTCGGATTCTTGTTCTGTGCTAAAAGCTGCTTTACGCCTCAACAGCTTCTCATGATCTACAAAGCGCATCATTGGAACACCGTAGAAAGGTCGGCGACCTTTCTTTCTACCGATACTTCCACGGGAAATGTTCTTCGGAAATCTCTGCTATCATCCCTTCACTACCAATACCAATCAGACGAACTAGACAAGCCCAGTCAGCACATCCTTTCGCATCTAGGAGGCATCGTCATGAGATCTTGCATGAAACTTTCATAGTTAAAATGTTTAAAATCTCTAAAAGTACGGTGCTTATATTGCAGAGTGTCCTGTTCATAATTAAATTCGCAGTATATCAGAGAGTGATCGGAAATAAGATCTGCATTCAAAGTGTTAGTACTCGTAACATTTTCGGAAACAGCGATAATATCGATAAGTGTACAGCTTGTGTTTGTTATTCTAGTAGGTTCATTGTTAACTATCTTGAGACCATATGCTTCAAGGAAGTTGAGAAATTTTTGTGTATTTCCATTGGTAGTATAAAGTTTTATAATATTTATATCTCCCGCAAGAATTACCTCATCCACGGTTGGTAATATTGTAACATTCGCAAATGCTCAGAGCACCCAGTGCCCTCTAACGTACACGACTTTCAACTTTGGAACACACCTACACTCATATAAAGCAGGAATCGATACATTTGGTAGTGCAGACTAGTACTTTATATTACAGCTAGACCTAACTCTTAGTTTCGCTATTCGCTCAGTGATGGCGCTAGTTGAACTCAGAAAAAAAAATCAAGGAATTAGACAAAATTATCTTTTCAATTGTTTATTAAACTTCAAGAATACAAAGAATAACCATATAATTTACCTGAACATGTTTTGCAACAAATGTAGTGTGAATTTGAGAAAGTATCATCATAGTCTCAATTACAGGTTAGGAAATGAAATTCTTAATTTTCTTCCAAATTAGTATGTTTGAGGTGAATCTCTTGGTCGATCTGTCAGTTTCCATTTATTCCTGATTGGATATTTCAAACTGTCAGCCTGGTCTGTTATAAAGTACCTAAAATAAACAATTAGAAAATATCAATAATCAGCTGTTGTACTTACCAAATTCAGTGGGATAAAATCAGTATTTTTCTGTGTCCAGTTTCTGTTGTTAGTAGGTATCACCTGTATTCCAGGATTCAGAAAGCATCTCCTGTTTCGTTTTTCACCAGCACTAGTTGTTATTTTCCGGAGTCTTTCCAAATCCTAGGAAAATGAGTGGAAAGAATCTGATTCATAGATGGCACGACCATCGCGTTGACAGCGGTGTCTGTAAACAGATTTCTAACAGGTTTCGGGGTGAAGGGGGAAAGCTTCGATGGATTTCGATGGAGTTCGATGGGCTTCTATAGGCTTCCAGGAGCTTGTGGTGAAATTACACAAGGCTTCGAACCGATATTTTCGGGATTAGTGGCTGTTTTCCCATGAACAGTTTCTCCTAATTTTGGGACTTGTCTCCAGCCATTAAACGAGGTGATCATAAACCGAGTGTGAAACTTCCAGTGCTCCAGGCATCCAGAAACTTCATACACGTGCCGGCTTTTTTTGTGAATCGTAAGTCTGTTCTTTCCCATTCAAATTCCCATAAAATCTCTTCATGAATTTCTTTTCCATTATTTACAGTTGGTGAAGCCAAATTTCCTAATTTTACATCATATGGGGAATAATATGATGTTTTCCTGTTCATTTTTGTATGAAACCCTCTTTAAGGGGTAAGTAGACATTCTCTGCATGAATGTCAGAGAAATAATATTTTTGTTATTAAGGGTTTTAGGTGGGACTACGTCCAAGCTATTTTTAAACAGTAGCCAGTGTCCTGGTTACTTGTAGATGTAGTTTTTTTTGCTGGGAAACTATAAGGGCAGTATTATCAACCCCTAGCTGTTGACAGTAATTCCATCCCGGGTGGTAGTAATGCCCTACGGCTTCTCAATGAGAAGTTAACTCAGGGAAGAGACCTGTTAATTTTGTACCCAGGATTGAAGTTATTTTTCTTTCTTGCTGAACTGAACCTGTGGAGCTGTCTAGACTGATGAATTCTGGAATGGAAATGGATCACCAATAACAAGGCCAGATATAAACCTTTCAATGATATTTTGTTGTCATTTTCTTTTACATAACTTAGCTTTCACATTTGCCTCACCTGGAACCATATTACTAACTTCAACTCCTAGACTGTGAAAGGTGAATTTACTCTCAAAGCTGTACAGCCTTCGCTCAGTACTGTGCGAATGCCATGATCATCATCTTCAATGTTATTGTGAGAATAATATTTCATACACAACATTACTTATGATTGTTGACAGTATTCTTTAACTTATCAATTATGATTTACTCAGGTGAGTTACCATGGTGAGAAGGTAGTATAAATGTGTGAATATCACCACATATTATTCAGGTAAATTTCAGTCCATCATATACAGGGTGATCTTGTCGGTTCAACAATGCTTCAGGTGAGATACTTGTTAATTGATTGTTTTTTGTAAATATATGTAAATATCTGGGTGAATATAATTTCTATACATTCCCCCCTCTCCCTGAGTTGGTTAACATTGGTTTGACATATGAAAATTTAAATAAGTATATATATTTTTTTTGTACTGTAAAGAACTTTTCAAAATTAAATGGATCTTGTTTTCTTGACTTGGACAAGGCCAAATATCCCAAGTACTTCAAGTCAAGTGGCGCCTGGGTAAGTTTCCTTCTCAATTTTTTTATTTCTTTGGAAACTTATGAAATTAAATGAATTACATAATGAATTGTTAACCCCGACCTCCATGCTCTCTAGACAACAACGCTAACGGTGCAGTGACTTTTCAATTTTCCATAGAAAGTTGAAAACGTTACAATATTAGAGGGATAGTATTCTCCAGTGAGGTGACAAAGTCATTCATATTGAAGTGGAGAGGTCTGTAAATTCCACCTATACCTATGGTTTTACCGTTTATTTTGAAACTTGCCCATAACTGTTCAATAGAGGTATCATTGTCGTTAATGTTAAGATTTACAAGTTTGATTTCAGATTTATAATAGATTGCTATGCCCCTTCCTCTACCTAGTCGATCCTCCCGCATCATCTTGTAACCACGCACATGAACAATCTCCTCCGCGACATTGGACGACAACCATGTTCCTGTGATAAC